TCCCCAGCCCGGCTCTGTAAAGCTGAAATATCATTTCCCACCAGCCTTGAAAACAACAGCCCTGCGGTTCATCAGTGCATCAGGGAAGATAGTCGCTGGTCCCCTCTGTCCTCCCACTAACAACAACCATGCACACCACACCCAACAGCGTCCTGCCTCCCTCCCTCCGCCTCCTCACCCTCAGGACAGCAGCCTGAAGGGGTGAGGAGAGAAGCTGGTCTGAGTGGCCTCAGGATGATTGTCTCTCCCAGTACTTGTTTCCACCATGGTGCTTCATTTTATTTATTTCTGCTTCCTTTCTTTTTATCTAGGTTAAGAAGGTAGAGGTTTGCGTATTCGGTAAATATTTTTTTTTAAAATAAGATTTTGATTTATTAATTACAGCTACTGTTTTCCCATCCTCAACCTCATAAATTTATTATTTTACCTTTACTATTATTACTTTTTTAGATGTCCCTTGGTTTACTCTATCCTTTTTTTTTTCCTGGCTTTTTTGATGTAAATTTTGATGTACTTATTTTTATTATTTTGTTTTCACTGACGTAAGTACTTCAGGATACTCTCCTCTGATCTTCTGTATCCTTGTTTTTTGTTGTTCACGTGAACCATCTTACAATGATAGTGTGTTAAATTCTATCGTTGGTGAGCTGCAATCTATGTCTCCTTGCATATCCTGAAGTTACTTTTTTTTTTTAATTGAAGTGAACTAATATGATACTAGTTTCAGGTGCACAACATAGTGAATGGACAACTCTGTGCATTATGCAGTGCTCACCATGATAAGCATAGTCACCACCTGTCATACAATGTTACTAAAATGTTATTGACGATATTCCCTATGCTATCCTTTTCATCTCCGAGACTTATTTATCTCATAACTGGAAGTTTGCACTTCTTAATCTCCTTCCTCTGTTTTGCCCATCCTCCACTCCCCTCCCCTCTGGCAACACCAGTTTGTTCTCTGTATTTATGAGTCTGTTTCCATTTTTTGTTTGTTTGTCTGTTTGTTTTGCTGTAGTTACTTCTTTGTGAAGGAGAATGTTATATGTGTTATGTGGTGCTTACAACGGACATCTTTACGGTGAATTGTGGTTAATAACATTAAATGTGTCCTTCTGACAACTTGAGCAACAAAATAAAATGCAACCCAAAGTATAAAATGTCTGTAAGTCCACACTGATATAGTTAAATGAAAAAACAAGGAGGACAGACAAATCTCCCATACAGAGTAATTCCAAATAATTGAGCTTCCTCCCCCTCAAGGAGTATCTTTGTTAAAAATTTATTTATTTTTATTTAAATTCAATTAACATATAATGTATTCTTGGTTTCAGAGGAAGAGGTCAGTGATTCACCAGTCTTATATAATACCCCCGTGCTCATTACATCACACGCCCTCCTTAATGTCCATCACCCAGTTACCCCATCCCTCCACCCCCCTCCCCTCCAGCAACCCTCAGTTTGTTTCCTATGATTAAGAGTCTCTTATGGTTTGTCTCCCTCTTTGATTTTGTCTCGTTTTATTTTTCCCTCCCTTCCCCTATGATCCTCTATTTTGTTTCTTAAATTACTCAGCATCGAGGAGTATCTTAAGTGTGGGATATGCACAGTGACTTTCTCCCTGAGAGAATAATATGGAAAGAGGGAGGGGGAAAAAAGGAACTTTACAGTGTAGAAGCCTGATGAACCCATCAGCCTAATGATCAGGTCAGCATCACCAATGATAAGTCAGCATCACCAATGATAGTACATACCCTTGACATGATGTGATGAGAAGGACACTCCCCCTTGGTGGTCTTCCTCCAAAAAACCCATAACCCCAGTCTAACCATGAGAAAAAACATCAGACCTACCCAACTGCCTAATCAGTGCCCCTCTAAACTGTCAAGGTCATAAAAACGGGGAAGGTCAGAGAAACTGTCACAGCCAAGAGGAGCCTAAAGACACCCAACGGCTAAATGTAACATGGTATCCTGGGTGGGATTCCGAAAAATAAAAAAGAACATAAGGCAATATGAATGAAGTTTGGACTTTAGTTTACACTAATGCATCAATATTGCTTCATTAATCATGACACCCACACCAGGGGAACGTAGGGTGTTTGTTAATACTGGGAGGAATGGTGTGCTAGTCCACAGAATGCTGTGCGCTACTCAGTCTCCTTTCTGGGATTTTCACACTTAATGGAGCCATCCTCCCTGGGAATGATTTTAGGTCAGTTCTAGGCTCTCCATTCATCTCCTCTTCTTGACACAGATATTTCTGGACCTCACTTTGCTCTCTGAAAAGGGTAGAGGCAAGAGTTCATAAGATACCTCCTTGAAAATCAAGAGTCTTTTCAGTAAAGGTAATTTGAAGTTTTTGCTGTTCCCTGACTTGTGACTATATTGATGTCAGAGGGGTTATGGGGTTTTCTTCTTGTTGTTGTTGAATTCTGTAGTTGTGAAAGAATGTACTTGAAGATTTAAATTGATAAGGACACCATCTACCCTGGAAGTCTGGCGAATTTTTTCTCCAGCTTTAGTGAGATGTGAGCGTCCACTGACAGATGAATGGATGAAGAAAGTGTGGTGTATTCAACCATATAAAGACAGGAGTTCCTGTATTTTTGACAGCAGAGATGGACCTTGAGGGCATTAAGCTAAATGAAATCAGCCAGACAGAGAAAGGCAAATACTGTATGATTTCCCTTAGGTGGAATCTAAAAATATCAACTCCTAGAAACACAGAGTAAAATGGTGGTAGCCGGGGTGGTAACCGGAGGGTGGAGGAAATGGGCTGGTCAAAGGGCACAAACTCTCAGTTACAAGACCAACACATTCTGGGGATCTAACGTGGAGCGTGGTGAATAGTCAACAATGTTGTATTGTATCCTTGAAAGTCGCTATCAGAGAAGAGCCTTTATGTTCTCACCATAACAACAGAATGGTAATTATGTGAGGTGACGGATTTGCTAACTACCCTTATCATGATAAACATTTTGCAATATATATGTGAATCACATGATTACATGTACACCTTAAATTACACCCTATGTCAATTTTATCACAATAAAGCTGGGGAAAAAAAGTAAATTGAAGAGGTAAATGTTGATATCTTCCCCATGTGGCATTTTCCCATTCAGAAGCACAGCATTTATTCAATCTTCGTGAACAGTTGTGTAGGTTTCTTTTTCAAGTTCTGCCTACCTCTTGTTACGTTTATTTAAAGGAATGGTATGATTTTGTTGATATTCTAAGTGGGATTTTATTCTATTCTATTTTATTTTATTTTTTATTTAAATTTTAGTTAGTGAACATACAGTGCAATATTGTTTTCTGGAGTAGAATTCAGTGATTCATCACTTACACACAACACCCAGTGCTCATCACAACAAGTACCCTCCTTAATGCCCATCCCCCATCCAGCCCATCCCCCACCCACCGCCCTCCATCAACCCTCAGTTTGTTCTCTATCGTTAAGAGTCTCTTTACGGTTTGTTTCCCTCTCTCCTTTTCTCCCCCCTTCCCATTATAGTCATCTGTTTTCTTTCTTAAATTCCACATGTGAGTGAGATCATATGGTATTTGTCTTTCTCTGATTTATATAAGTGGGATTTAAAAATTTTTATTCTGATTATTGTTCGCTTTAATAAAAATGGGATTTATTATGTACTAACTATGTGACTGTGGATGGTTACTGAACCTCTCACGGCTTCAATCTTTTAACAAAATTAAAGATGTGAGATAATACCCATTTGACAAGGTTCTTACGAGAAATAAATAGGACAATACATATAACACAGTTAGTATAGGATCTGGAACAGAGAAGTAGTCAATACATAAACTAATCTTACTACCGGTGGTGTATCTTGTACTTGTCAGGCCAGAATTTTGGGCATGGCTCTTGCCTACTTTCCAGGATGTCCTGCTATCACGGGTCCACTGCAGTGCAGCCGGTCCCCTGGAGAATGAGAGGCAGCCCTGGCTTGCATGCCTCTCAAAGGGGCAAAGGACACAGTGCTCCCTGTTCTCTCACCCCGAGGCTCTGCCCCCCACTTCCGCTCACAGCGGGAACCCAACACAAAAAGGAGAGTTGTCTCAGGGCCAGAATGTCAGGGCTAGACCATACTTGCCGAATAATTACATCCAACCCCCTCAAATTGAGCAGACAACTGAGGCTCAGGGAGGGAAAGACGCTTGTCTGAGGTCATCCAGCAAGTGGGGAGGCTCGGCCCTAGAACACAGGTTCCCTGACTCCTAAGCCTGTGCAATTTCAACTCCATCCCAAATTCTTTTTCTGGGAGAGCTTCCTTGTTCAAGGGCAGTGAAGCCGGTGGGGCAAAAGCAGGGCCCTGAGGTCGTTCGCGTTTGCCTAGCACACACCCTCCACGGTCTGCACCATTCGAATCTGCCTGCCCCCACCCTGTGCGTCTCCGGAGAACACGATTCACCACCCACGCTAAAGGATCAAGGGCTTGGTGTGTCCTGGCTCCTCATTCACATCTTAAAAATAGAAAGCTGGGGGACGGTATGGCTTAAGCCAAAGGAATTAATTGTTAATGGAGGCATCTCAGGCAGGAACAGGTGAAATGCTTCAGGAGCGGGGATTTCCCTGCTTCTTTCTGTGGCCTCTTGGGAGGATGTGGAGCCCTGGGGAACATGAAAAGGAAAGGCGGGAGGGAGCTACAGGGTTAGCCACTAGGGTAGGTCGGTCCCGCTGGCAGGGCTGTCAATAGCTAGGTCAGGTCACGGGGTCAATGGGAGAGGAAAGAAACAGCCTGCAGTTTGTGTCCTGCTTAGTTTCTTATTTCCCTGGGCTTAGGGCAAAGGCAGCATTCCCTAGTGAAATGCAGACTCTGGGTCTGGGGTCGATTAGTGGATTTCTAGTATTAAGCCCCAGGAATGGGCCCCTTGTTTCGGCCCCCGCTCTCCTTCACACCCACCGGGGAGAGGGAGTCCCAGCCCCCCACCCATCTCCCTGGGGTGCCCGGAAGCACAGGAGTTGGCAGAGCCAGAAGCAAACAGAGCACAAAGTCATCATTTATTACGAAGTCACGAAGAGAGGCAGCCAAGCCCAGACTTGGGCATCCTAAGCAGGAGGCGGAATGCCCAGGGAGGGAGAGGGCCGTGCGACAGGGGCCGGGACCAGCAGCCCTGGGGACTTCCCAGGTGCAGCAAGGACAGGCTCCACCTGGCTGGGAGAGAAGAGAACCGGAGAGGTGACTCCCCCGCTCGAAGCACTCAGGGGCAGTGGGGGGCAGGGTCGCGTCCAGGTGGCAGCCCTTTCAGGGCTCGGTCACAGGCTCTGAGACCCTCAGTCTCTCAGCCACCTCCCCGCAGCCTCTCTCTCACCCAACCGGGGTCACTCCCCATTGCTCAGCCTTCTCTGCGCCCTCAGGGTCCTCTCTTCCTCCACCTGGTTCTCACCTCACTGGGGATCCAAGCAGGCCAGCCCACAAGGGCCCTTACAGCACTTCTTGGCCCCCGGGCACTCGGTGTCGCTCAGACAGCGGTTCGGGGGGTTTAGCATGGCGCACTGGATCAGAATGTGGGGGCAGAAGCCAGGCTTAGTGGACGCGGGAACTTTGGCTTTGACTGGATCTTGACCTTTCACCGGAACACGACCTTTGTCAGTGCCTTGCCCTTTAGGAGGAACTGTTGAAAGAACAAATGTCGCCACATGTAGTCCCCGTGTGCCAGCTTCACTCTCTGGTCTTTCCTCCACGTCCAGCCCCTGCTCACTGCTGTGTTGTCCAAACTGCGGCCTGGGGTGGGGCAGGGTTTTCTGGGCTCGCTGAGGTCTGTGCCCCGGGAAGGCTGTGCCCCAGGCTTTGGGGAGAGGATCTACAGAACCACGGTTCCCTTGGGTGTCCATTTATCCCCCCACCCTCCATGACAAGTCCTTTCAGAAGGAGAGGCCAGACTGGAGTGACTCGCAGAGGTGAGAAGGACACATGGTGCTCCTGGGGGAGAGGGGAGAGCCTGAGACACACACCAGGAGGCCCAAGCTTCTTCCCGGCTCTGAAGATTGTCTGGACAGTGTCCTCCCTCATAAAATGGGGGGGTCTTCAAACTACATGGCTTCTGAGGTCTCCTTGGTGTGTAACCTCCTTTTAGAGGCTGATTTCCCAGATACCTTCAGGGGGCAGACAGGCAGGGGCCAGACCCCACACCCAGGCCCAGATTCCTGGGGCTCCTCACTTCACTGCACATTCTGCCCAGGTATCCACACCTGAGGCCATGACCATGTAGCAACACTCCTTCCAGCAATAGTCCTGGTATCTCGGTCCTGATGTGGAAAGCATGTCGATTCTACTGGACAACTTCCTGCTCTCTCTGGATGCAGTGGAAGCAGCCACAGACCACCCATGGGCGCCTGGGTGGCTCAGTTGGTTAAGCGTCTGCCTTCGGCTCAGGTCATGACCTCAGAGTCCCGGGATGGAGTCCTGCATCAGGCTCCCCACTCAGCAGGGAGTCTGCGTCTCCCTCTGCCCCTCCTCCATCATGTGCTCACTCGCTCTCTCACCCTCTCAAATAAATAAAAATTTTTAAAAGAAAGTGTGAGATCCAGCCCTGCCCACTGCCCCAGAGTGCTCCTTGGCAGGGCCCAACCCAGCCTCACCCAGGCCACTTGTCTACTCACCTCTGGTGACACTGGCCTGTGCCACCAGAATCCCCAGGCTAAGGAACACCACCAGGACGAAGAAGCTGCTGGGCCTCATGTTGTCTCAAGTGTGTGGCTACAAGCTGAAGTTGACCCATTTTATGCAGCCCAGCGTGGCCTGGAGCCAGGAGGGTGGGTCTGTGGTTTTCTCTGAGACAACACCTACATTTCCTAATTCTACTAGGAAGGATCCACCCCTATTCTGGAAGGGACCTTGGGGCTTTCCCCGGGGATTTTTTGCAAAGATAAATGGCAGACACTGTGTTGCATCACCTCTGATAGCGCCGAGAGCTGTCCCACTTTCTCACAGAGAAGCAGGGCTGGCTGTGGGCCCGGTGTTCTGATTTCAAAGCCGAAGATTTCCCCCATCGCTCCCTGTTCCTGCAGGCCCACCCAGACCTACCCTAACTGTTCACCCTTTCCAGCATCAAGCTGGCCTTTGCTTTCATGCCCTCTTGGCCCTGAGGAAAACTCTCGAAGGCAAATTTGCCTTGAAATCTAATGACACATCACTACACGGGTCATCTCTGAGATGCAGCACATAAGTAATCAGGAAGGTGGGATTCTAGATCTCACATAACAATGCTAATTAAAATAATGCTGGGTGAAAAATTCAAGTCTCAAGAGAAAATATTTTGAATTATAGGCTTGCGTATAAGGTTCAAAACTAAGAAACACTAATAGATTGTCTAGACGTACTTATATATGTGGTACAACTCATTTACGCGGGGGTGGATGAAAATGAGGAAGCTATTCGCACAAAATCTAGGATAGTGATTACTCTGGAAAGGAGGCAAGAAACATTCTGGATTGGTGAGAAGGACTCAGGTTGGTTTAAGTTTTTGGTTCTTGGTAACACACACACGTGTGTGTGTGTGTGTGTGTGTGTGTGTGTGTGTATTTCCAAGGCTGTGGGGTAAATAATTTATGGATTATGGATTACCTTTGCTTTCCATAAACCCACAGTGTTGCTCTCTTGGGTGGTTTTCAGTCTTTCACTATAACAAACTATACCCCACATGGCTTTTTGCATTAACTTGTAAGCTAGAGTCCCAGAAGTAGGTTTGCTGGTACGAAGATTCAATGCATTTGAAATTTTTTTCCAGTTTATTACAGTATATTGACAAATGGATTGTATATATATTTAATGTGTACAATGTGACATTTTACTATACATGCACATTATGAAAAGATGGCCACAATCAAGCTAATGAACATATCCATCAACTCATATAGTTACCATCTTTCAGATGCTTTTGAACTTTTTATACTCTTGTCTTATGTCCTTTGATCTGGGTTGTACCATTTTGTACCCATACCAGTAGTAGATGAAACCACCTGTGTGCATCCAGGCTTTGGCACAGTGTGTTTCATTTGTTTTTTGTTTTTTGTTTTTTTTTTTTACCAATCTGATAGGTGAGAAATCATGCCTTGCTGATGTTTTTAGTTAGCATTTCTCTCATTTTCATTTTTGCACATTTTAGAAGCCAGTTAATTTCTTTTTCTGAAAGCTTCTTTTCCTTTGCTCACTTTTTAATAGATTCATCAGCCTTTTTTCTTCTTAATTTTTAAGCACTCTTTATATATTATGGAGCAAGGTCCTTTGTGGTATGGTTTGCAAATAAAAAAATTGAATGCCATTCTAAGATCTGTTCAGAACAGCTCGGGGTGCTCTCCTCTCCTCATCTTATCTGGACGTTCCCTCCTATTGTTTGGCTACAGTGCACATAGTGAGAGCACGTTTTTAATATGGTTATATTAAACAAATCTGGCTATACTATATTAAGAAGACTGCACATCATATTAATACAGGTTCACTGAAGAGTTGATGGGGGGATAGAGGTTAAGAAGGTAGAAGGAGAAAAAGGGCAAATAAAAAGAAACAAAAAAGTATTGCTTCACCAAAAAAACTTATCATGTCTGGTGTGATCCTATTATATTTATAAATGTATTAGAAAAAGAATGAATATCGCTAGATCTCTGTGCACTGAATCCTAGAAATATTCATGAAATCTTACCAGCAGGAAAACAAGTTAGAGGATAATATATGTGTTTGAGAATACTTCAGTAGAAACACATAAAAGTGCTATAAATGCCTTTATTCATGTACGAAAGAGGAGAAAGATATGAAGGAATACATACTACACTGTTCATATTGCTTACATCAGGGTGATGAGAATGGGAAAGAAACCCAGATGAGCAGGTTTTCCTACTAGTTTCTAATTTTTTTACTTGTCACAACAAAAAGTCACTGTTGTGATGTGAAATATCAAAGAAAATTACAATCCGTAATTAGAAAAAAGAACTCAAGGAATCTTGTGAATGAAGAAAACAGTATAATTGACAATTATATCTAAATAAACAATGAGATACATGTAACCAGTAATACCAGTGTTGAGAAGGAATGCTTAAAATAGAAGTGTCATAATGTAAAAATGTAATAGTGTGTGTCGGGTATGATTCAGATGCCGTCCAAAGAAATCATTCTAGGTAGTTCAAGCAGAAAAAGAATCCAGCTATTGTATGAGTGTGTGTGATTGGTAGGAACTTGAATCCCATCTGCAGTTCTGGATGCGGAAGAGTCTGGGACAGATAGTCACTGGATTGCCAACCGCTACAGGGAGACATGCTGGGAGCAATTGAAATTCACATTGATGAAGACACTGCACAGAGCATGCCACCATCTTGCCACTGTTCACGCCCCAATCCATCCCCTACTTACGCTTCCAAACATCAGCAAATATTCACCTCCCAGAAGGAAAAGTGCCCACCTTGAGCAGGTCTGAGAACAAGAAAGGTAGAGCACAAGTACTGGAAAGTGTAGAGAGAAAAGAAATAAGAAAATGCACCCAGGAGAAGGAGGAGGCATATTTAGGAGAGAAGTTATCATCTTGCAGTGGCTGCAGCAATATCTCTTTGGCCATGGCTGATAGTAGGAGCCCTCCTGTTTCAGACGAGTTACTTAAGAATCAGGAAAAGTCCACGTATTTAAGGAACTGCCCATTGTTGTAGCAACGGAGGAGGGAGCCCTTGAGCTAAGGAACTAAGAAACCCATTCTAACTTCCCACCCCTCCTACTCAGGTAAGGTAACTCTTTTCACTAGCTGGTCCGTGAAAATCTACTGATTTTAAAATAAGAAAGAAATGTGGAAATCACATAAGCCATACAAAAATACTGTTTTTTAAAAGCAGAAAAGAGTAGCAAAGCTTAAAAACATTTAAAACAGGATTTTTAAAATCTTCAGTAAAATGTCACCACAAACCTGAAAAAAATGGATATTCCAAAATGAATGTCCAAAATTACTGAAGCAAATTGAAACTATGAAGAACCACCATAAAGCAGAAATATAGAAATTCAAAGAAGAAATAGCAAGGTAACAGGAAGATGTGGAGTGAAATCTGACAGACCTCGGGGGAGAGATTGAAGACAAGAACAAAAACATTGCCGAAATAAAGACCAAGTAAGGACAAAAGGAAAGAAAATAAGAAAAGCAAAGAACCACAAACTAAAAATGAAAAATAGCTTTAAAATGATTTCAGAGAAAGTCTTCAGTATAAAAAGTCACTAGAGACGCAAGAGACATATAAATCAAGTTGCACAAAGGAGAAAACCAAAATACACACACACACACACACACACACACACACACAAGAAGTAAACCAAAACAGCAAAATAAAAGAATTATTTAAAACCCTAATCGAGGGGCGCCTGGGTGGCTCTGTTGGTTAAGTGTCTGCCTTCGGCTCAACTGAGCCGGGAGCCCGATTCTCTCTCTCTCCCCCTGCCCGCCACTCTGCCTACTTGTGCTCTCTCTCTCTCTCTCTGTCAAATACATAAATAAAATCTTTAAAAAAAATAAAACCCTAATCGAGGAAAATATTTCTGATATTAAAGCAGGCTCGAGTCTATGTATTGGAAGTTCACACCGTGGTAAACACAAGACGCATGCGAGTAAAACGCTTGGGCTGTAAAGATAGACATAGAAACCTCCAGGAACGCAACTCCCCTCAAAAACCAAAAACAAAAACAAAATTGGAAAAAAAAAATCAGATGGAATGATGGCCAGAAAACAGCAGAGCAAAACTTAAAGGCATTGAAGGAAAGAGTACACACTGAGGATTTTTTTTGCACAACTACAAGAATATACTTCTGGACATGCAAGAACTCAAGGGATCTTGTTTCCAAGAGCTTTCCTGAGCAGTTTCTAAGGGACAAGATACACCCAACCCAGAAGATTTGTGGAAATTACTAAAATGACAATTGTTGAGCACTGGGCATTTTAACCGTGGAATAAAGACTAAGACAAAGTCATAGCAAATAGTATGTAAATATGCCTTGCTGTGAAAATGTAGAAATAGTAAAATTTCCATCAAATAGAAGGATGATAGGGAAGGAAGTTGGATTAAAGAGTAAGCTCGCTGATTGCTATATATGTAATAGTTTCAAGTCAAAGGATATTTAAAACACAGTAAGCTTCAACAGAATTAACCCCTTTTGTGCATCAAAGGACACTACCAGGACAGTGAGAAGACCAGCTGCTGGGAGAAAAGATTTGCAAATCTGATATCTGATTAGGGCCTAGTGTCCAGAATATATAAAGGACGCGTACAATTCAACAATAAAAAGATGAAACAACCCAATTTTAAAGTGGGCAAAGCACTTGAATAGACCTTTCTCTAAAGAAGATATACAAAAAAATGGTGAGCACATGAAAAGATACTCAACATCATTAGCCACTAGGAAAATGAAAACCCAAATCACAAGATACCACTTCACACCCCTTAGCGTGACTATACAATTTTTTATCTTCACGGAAACAGACAAGCTTTGGCGAGGAAATGGAGAAGTTGGAGCCCTTGTACGTTGCTGGTGAGAACGTAAGATGATGCAGCGTGAACAATCCCAGAGGTCTAAGAGATAACCAAGAGCTTGGGTCTGGTTGATCAATGGGCTCATCTGCTACGTGAGACCCCCTCCGTGAGGACTGGGGGAGGTGGCTGTTTTCTCTAAGGCACAGAAACTAATACAAGGAGCCGGGGAAACTGAAGGCTCCACACTGGCCTTTGGACATCTG